TATGTCTTGAGCTATAGTGCTAACAAGCCAGCTTGCGCTCCATCAGAATAACCAGAAATTGCGCAATATTTATCACGTTTTTGAGCTGGACTTATAACAGTAAATAGAAAGCATATAATTTTCAATGGGGTACTCTCAAAAGGCAGCGAGCAGATCAAGTCAGCCACCTGCACAAAGCATCAACGGCTCCCTGAGTCCTATTCGTAAATGCTTCTATGTAATGGATCGGAATTAAAAATTTATATTGAAGTCACTTGCCCGCGGAACTATGATGTAGATGGCGCAAACGCATTTTGGTGAAAGTAGTCGCTGCCTTTCCTACTCTACTGCCGGCGGCCGTCCTTGCTTAAAAATGACTTGTTTATTTTTAAATGTATCCTACGAATGCTCTCTTCCAGTGCCGGCGTTTCCTGTGTTTATAGGTGATATTATAATACAGGGACACTTTAAAATGGTCAAGCAATTTGTTGATTATATTCTTGGTGAGGTCGTTCATCCTCTTCACTGTGAACGAATGGCTACGTAGCCTCGCCGTGCTATGCGTCGACATGTGTCTTGCCGTACACCGACATATCAGCTCTCCAAACTCCCATTGTCGGCACGCTACCTCACGTGTGAAGAGACGAAAATTCTGAAGTTGAAATCAGATTTGTCTCCAGAATAGATGTGGATTTCATGTAAACTTCTAGATTTTGAGTATTTTATTACCTTTTCCCTTGGTGAATGGAGCCATCTTTGCTGAAAATTTCGGACATTCACCTTCAAAATAAAGTGTATTTCTTTCTCACCCTTTGAACTTTCTGCAAATTGTATCCCTCACTCTACGTCGGTATATTTGATGGTCCTGCTCTGCAACTGCCCACAGCGCTAAATTCCCTACCAGCGGTTTAGCAGGCATGCCAGCGTCCCCCCTCTATCCAGATGGAACCGTTCCCTTCCACGTATCACTTATCGTTCTGCATAGATCAAGCTGTTTTATTAGATTGTTTTCTGTCTGTTTAAGATTTCCTATCAGTTGTTTAGGTGAGAGTGATGACGTGACTG